AAGCCCTCGGCGTGCGTGTTTCCTTAGAGACCCAGACAGCTTGGGCGCTAGCGGCCCGGCCACTCCTCAGAAGTCAAGATGTCGCCGAAGAAAACGGACAAGAAGAAAGGCAAAGACAAAGATAAGAAGTAAGGAACAGCCGCCCAGGGGTCCCTTGTTCCTGGACCTCCCTCGGGATTTCGTGAAGACTGAAGCCCACAAGATCTCGTTAGCTCTCCAAGCCTGTTATTTTTTAAAAACCGACTTTTAGGAGCATACAACAGTGTGTTAGGGACGTTGGATCACGGCATTTCCCTACGTGGGTCAGCCTCGCCGGCCGACCCTCCCCGGCTTTTCCAAAACAGGGTTTCTGCAGACAAACAGCTTCTATCCTATCACCTTCGGCCTGCCTTGATCTCGCTCTCACGGTGCCCCCCCCCCCAGCCCTCAGCCTGTTTTGCTTTCTTTTCAGCCTTTGTTTGTTTTTAGTGTATGTTAATTGCATCAAGGATTTTAACCACGGTATTTCAGACATGCATATACTATATTTTCATCAGAATAACCCTCTCTATTGCTTTCTCGTTACTGGAGTTTTCCAAGTCCTCTCCCATCACACACCTGCTATCCTTCCCCCTCCTCCCAACCCCCAGACACCGGGGACTCTGACCCTTTGGCTCTTCACAGCCTGGTGCTCTACTACCTGAGCCCCGTCAGCCCCATCTTCATACCCTGTCTTCAAGATCTTTTTTTCTTTCTTTTTTTTTTTTTTGCCGGTTCTAGGGCTTGAACTCAGGGCCTGGGCACTGTCCCTAAGCCTTTTGCTCAAGCCTTTTACACTCTACCACTTGAGCCACAGCGCCACTTCTGGCTTTTTCTGTTCATGTGGTACTGAGGAATGGAGCCCAGGGATTTATACATGCTAGATAAACACCCTACCACGAAGCCACCTTCCCGGGCACTATTCAAACTTTTTTTTTGGTCAGTGGTGGAGTTTGAACTGTGTGTGGGTCTAGGCACTGTCCCTCAGCTCTTCAGCTCAAGGCAAGTGCTCTACCACTTGAGTCACAGTGCCACTTCTGGTTTTCTGAGTGGTTTATTGGAGATAAGAGTCTCATGGACTTTCCTGTCCAGTGTGGCTTTGAACCACGATCCTCAGATCTCAAACATCCTTACAGGTGTGATCCACTGGTGCCTGGCCTCTTCAAAATTTTAACGACTGCTTGTTCCTTCCTTTTGTGATTCTAGCTCCAAAAGCTTACTACTGTGTGGCTAAGATGATCTGGAAATTCTAGAAGATGCTGTAGTCTCCATGGTTCAAGTTGTTCCTTGGACCTTTTCCATATGCTTTGTTGTTTGTTTGAATGGGAAACCTAAAAGATTTAATGTAATTGAGTAATGGTTAAGATTTCCCATAACTAGGGCTGGGAAGGTGGCTCAGTGGTAGAGTGCTTGCCTTTTATGCCTAAGGCCCTGGGTTCAATTCCTCAGCACCACATAAGCAAAAAGAAAAAAAGCCGAAGTGGCGCTGTGGTTCAAGTGATAGAGCACTAGCCTTGAGCTGAATAGCTGAGGGACAGCGCCCAGGCCCAGAGTTCAGGCCCCACAACCGGAACCAAAAAAAAAAAAATTCCTATAACTGACCAGAGCTTTGGACTATGCTGGTAGTGATCCAGCATTCACCTCATCGGTGCTAGCAGCTGTTGCTATTGTGCAAGTAGGTCTGTCGGGTGATCCTGGTTGTGTTGTCTAATTCAACAAGTATTTGGGGTCCCAAAGGAATCCTTTAAAATTGTATTTATAAAGTAACTTGTTTGGAGCCAAGAGTGGTGATGGTCCATACCTATAATCCCAGCACTTTGAGGCTGAGACAGAAAGAGAACTGACTTTGGGACTGGGTGGCAATAGTAAATTGTAGGCCAGTCTAGACTACAGATGAGACTCTGTCTTAAGAGGAAAAACAAGTTAACATCTTTGAGCTAGAGGTATAGCTCAGTGACTGTTATAGTTAATTACCTAGCATGTGCATGGCCCTGAGCTCAATCCTCAAGCAAGTAACTAGTTTAAGAGAGAATGCCAAGTTTAATACAGAAGGTTTGGGAAACATGGAAAATGCAAAAGAAGAAATCAAAATTCATCTATCATCACATTACTCATAGATAACCACAACTGTCATTTTGTGATGGTCTTATTTTCTTTATAAAATGATAGGCAAATTATTTGTAGCTTTTTTTCTTCTTGTGGTTTTTCCTTTCTTTTTGTTTTTCAGATCTTGCAACTAACCCAGAGATAAAACCCAGTGAGTCACAACCCAGCCCTCTTCCATGTTTTATGTTAATAATATTCCACAGGATTGGTAAGGGGGGTTCTAGGGCTTGAACTCAGGGCCTCATGCTCTTACTCACTCAAAGCTAGTGCTCTACCACTTGAGAGACAGATCACTTCCAGCTTTTGGTTAGATATAAGAGTTAGAGTTTCCTGTACAGGTTGACTGCAAACATTGTCCCTCAGATTTCAGCCTTTTGAGTAGCTAGGATTATAGGTGTGAGCTACTGGGGTTGGCTAATTCAGT